TGTCAAGTTTCTCAGCAAGTCACACCAAGCTTTTTAAAGCTCCTTGGTTTAAAGATTTCATGACATCCTCACAAAAATACTCTGCACCTGGTGGTACCAAGGTTCAAAATTAATGTATGTTCCAACTTCCTAGTTTCTCAACATATTTCTTATCATGATGCCTCCAAATATCTGAGAAGAATAGTGAGTCCTGATTTGCACTGCTTGCAGTGTGTATTTTGAATGACAGACATTATAACAAAGGGCCTCCTTCCACTCAGACAAAGGAGGTAAAAGAGAGAACCTCCCTTTTTTGTGACAATTAATTATCAAGAGATTGCTCCCATTCTTGACCAGCTAAGGCATTTTGCTCATTATATGACACGATTATGACCATATGAAAATTTGTGGGCAATATTCACAAGAACGACTGACTGTTTTCAGCTGCTAAGCCATTAATTTCGATCCCCGAATATTGTGGCCAGTGTAATAGCAATTGAGGAACTTGAACAATTTATTTGCAAGACCTGTGTGTTCTACATCTCAATTCTTACAAATAGACTGAAGGAAATAAATTTAAGTATTATTTTATATGGCCTCCTTCAGTCAATATTGATCATGTCGGTAAAATTCTATTAGACATTAGCTTTGGAGTAGTGAGTATGTGTTTGTAAGCTCTCTGGAATCTTTCTTTTTTGTGACCCTTATAGTTGGCTGAAAGGGGCAGATAGAAGAGTGTGGATTGTGCTCTCCATGCTTATTCTTTGTCCTGATAATGTCGATTTTGCACATCAATTGGATTGGATGACTGTCTGAGCTCACCCCGACGGGATCAGAGCTCACCCCGATCGGGGTAAACTTGCCCCGTCGGTGTGTATAGACTGATCAATTCACACCTTTCCTGGCTTTGTTTTGGGATTTTGCACCTCTTTGACCAGAACTCCCACCCCGTCGGGGTGACATTACCCCGTCGGGTTTAGTGATTATGACAGTGTCACCCCGACGGGGTGAGTACCTTACACCGACGGGGTGAGTACTTTACACCGACGGTCCTGTGATTTGGTCCTGACGGGGTAGCTGCTAGCCCTGTCGGGGTGCTGAAAAACCCGTCGGTCTGCTTGCATTTTCTATAAATGATATCTAAAGTTATGAATACTGCAGAACAATAATTTTCATATCACTATACTCCTTACATCAAGACCTGCGCACTGATGTGAAACTTGAATGCAAAATGTAAATTTTTACTTGACATTCCAAATGGCCAGTGACTTTCCTAAATTGAGATGACCAGTGTTAATTGTCTTTTTTGTTTTTTCAGAGGAAGAAAAGCCCCATCTGACTGATGAGAGACTCCATGCCCTGTGTACCCTGTCCTACTCTGACAATGTGGAACTCCAGAGGTCTGCTGCTCTCTGTTTCTCTGAGATCAGTTCAAGAAGTGAGTACATGTACACTGTACATGATTGTACAAATGTACATACTATTATTACATGCAGTCTCAATTGAAAAAATTCTGACGTAGTAGTACCTAAACCCACATTTAGGTTCAGGTCCGGATTCAAGTCCAGAGGTTTAGGTTCAGTTCCAGACTTGTAAGTCCGGACCTAAACCCATGGCATATACAAAATTGCATGTTGGCAACCTTGCAATGTTGTCTGGGTGAAACTTTGGCCACATAACATGGAGGCCGGTACTTGATGATGCCCGATGGCAATGTTTTCTTCACTTTGTAGCAAAGATTTTGTAATCTATAGAACATTTTAGGTGGTTTGGAAAGAAAAGGGGTATGTGAAATGGTCTTTTATGGTAATAAGTCCGGACTCGGTTCTTGACTTTTAGGTTTTTTTGGACTTGAACCTAAACATTTTTATGCAGCACTATTCTGATGTTTGTAGTGGCATAATGTTCAGATTTTCAGACGTTGTGTCTATTAGTAAACACTTTAAATGTGATTGTCAACAAAAGTCAAACCAGTGAACTGTATAGCCTGAAAAGGCCCAGGGGGTGTTACTCCACTGTACAGGGTGGGAAGGTGAGTAAAGGGCCTTTCCCAAGGACAAGGTCAAATTAGGCCACACCAGGTAAATTTTATGGATGACATCCTCTGCAGACTCCAAGACTATTATGCAAGCGGGTGAAAAAAAACAAGGCGGGCTGAAAAAAAACAAGGTTCCTACATTTTAGAATTTTGACTCAATCATTGTATAAATGGTTTTTATTCAGTGGGAACATCACATATACACAGCCACCATCACATATCACTGCATCAAAGTAAGAAACAAAACATTGAATTAGAGCTTCTTCTTGTCTCCTCTCTTCGTAGCTATCTGCCATCCACCTTCCGGCATGGCAACAGACATCTTTGCCCATTTTCGGCATGATGTCCACTGTCAGAAGGCAACTAAATTTTTTTTTCCGTTTTTTTTTCCAAAATCAGGCGAAAATTAATGCGTGCGCTGATGTCATTATTAAAAGTTACTTGCTGTGGCCTTAGCTTTGACAACATGAACTTTCTGTAACCACCGTATCACCCCTGTGTATTGTGACGTCGGGTGGTGTAGTGGTTAGAGCAATCGACTATGAAGCGGGGAGACCCGGGTTCGATTCCGAGTTGTACCCGGTATATGTCTGAACATGCGCCCCGACGTTGTGCCCTTGGGAAAGGCACTTTATACGACTTTCCTCACTCCACCCAGGTGTGAATGGGTACCTAACTTCGGTTGGGGAAAGTCGTATTGAGGTCACCTTGTGGCGCCTAATGGCAGCTGCACAGACCCTTGCGACAGTTCCACAAAAAATAATTGTGGAACAAATATATGTATCATGTGTATTATTTGATTGTTGTAATTGTTGTGATACCCTGCATCAATTTAGCCGTATAAAGGCTGCGACTGCACAGGTACTGTTTGGACAATAAAAACCATTTATTACCCCTACAGTGATGGCACCAGTGTCAGTGAACATGATGGAACCGTTGGTGGCCCTGTTGGAGTCAGAAGACACACAGGTACAGAGACATGCAACACTGGCAGTCAACAACTTCACCCTACATGGACCTGGTAAGTCTTCTCTCCAAGTGTTTATTGAAAACCAAAACCCATCGCAGTCTCACGGCTGAATTGTGAGGTTTGTACACAAGTCGCGAGCACGTTGCACTTACTAATATCTTATTACATTTTGAAATATTCAGAAATACCTTAAATTGAAATTACTAACTTACAACATTTTAAGATCTTGCAACTTTTTAAAATACTAAAATACGCAATATATTGTACATATTTAAAAACATTTTTCACCTATTCATAATCTTTAAAATAGAATTAAACTATAATAGTATTTTGTAGCTGCGACATTCAAGCGAGTTAAAAACAATTCTGACAGAACGGCATAAAAAACACATTCAATGGATACTATACTTGAAAGGGACACGAAATAACAGCTTATTTCAAAGTCTCATTGTACAGTCTGACAGCAGTGTACAAAAATGATTTTCTCAGCCATGTGAGCCAAGTGTGTGCTGAGTTCTCACCAGAATATTTTCCAGTGTAGGGGTGAGCTACAGAAGGACTGTGAAATTTCTGTGGCGCAAGCTGCACAACTGATAGTCAGGTCGTGTGGCGTAGCGGTAGCGTGTTCGGCTTGGGACCGAGAGGACCCGGGTTCGAATCCTGCTCATGTCACCGATCTTGTGCCCTTGGGAAAGGCACTTTACACAACTTTCCTCACTCAACTCAGGTGGAAATGAGTACCTAGCTTCGGTTAGGGACATCCCTCGGATAGGACATTAAAGGGAGGTCCCGTGTTTGGGGAGAGCCACACCCCACGCACGTTAAAGAACCCACCACACTTATCAAAAAGAGTTATTTGAAACAAACAAAAAAAAACATGCATCAAGTCCCAAAGACTGCTAGAAATGTCAATCCACCCCTAACCAGTAACCAAAAAACAAGCTCTTTACGAAACAAATTTTTTATTTCAATTTTGATTTGATTGAAATTGCAACAATGCAATACACGCGGAACAGAGGCAGCTGTTGCTGGTGTTGTGTCCCGCACATAGAAACAAATATTGGACAGACAATACTCATTTTCACTTAAGTCTATAGTAGCGTGGGGAAAGTCGTGTAAAGTGCCTTGTCCCAAGGGCACAAGATCGGTGGCATGTCAGGACTCGAACCCAGGACCTCTTGGTTCCGAGTCGCGCACGCTGCCATTGCGCCACACGACCACACAAATGAGGTCAATGACCTGGACTAGACAACTAGATTAGACAACATGGTATATAAGTTAAAAATAACTTAGTCTAGTGCAATAGCAGACAGCCTGTGGTGTTGGGTTACATTGTTACTTTCCCAATCATATATGCATGACATATTCTATGATTGTCAACAGTTGTTTTTTTTCCTTGAAGGCCACACCAATTTAATTTGTTGGTTCTTGGATTTCAAAATTAAAATAAAACAGGTCTAGGCATCCTCTTACATATTACTGTAATTCACTTTATGTTCACGGTAGCAAAATTTCACGGTCTGAGAAAAATGGACATGTTCACGGAACTATATGTTCACGGTGGTGACAGGTGCAGAAAAAAGAAAGTCCAGGAATTATTTGTTAACTGTAATCGATAAGTTCACTTTACAGAAGCAACAGTGAAAACAGTGAACTTATCAGTACAGTGAACAAATCAGGAATTACAGTATATAAGTTATAGCCTCATGCAAATGCTACGAAAGGAGTATGAAGTCAACGCAAAAAGGCTGGCTACATATGTAAACAATGAATTTTGAATGTTTAATCAAATTTTATGCATTGATAGATGGAAAAACTGTAACACCTAGTGTAAGTAGGAAGAAAGGACTTTCGTCAACTGATGGGGGTAAAATAGAGTATTTTTAGTTTATTCAGAACCAGAATCTTTTTTTTTTTTTGCAAATCAGAGAACCAACAAATTGAATTGGTGTAGCCTAATGATATCACCACCAACCACTACAACATACAATGGACCTATAACATTATTACGTCACAGTTTGTTTACCACAATGAATGCCGGTCAATGGATGTTTATATTGTACGCGTAGCGCGGTGTGTGTTTGCCTTAATATAAAGCCTTAAATACAGTACTACTTTCATCTACTGTCACAACTAAATCACCCATTACGGCATGTAATGCTGTGTCAACAAAACTAGACACAGCAAAAATCAAACATACCTGACTTTGAAAACTTTGAAATATCTTTATTCTTTAACTGACCATTCTAGAATGTTCTTTAGAACAGGTAAACAAACTGTGACGTAATAATGTTATAGGTCCTTTGCAACTTGATACAAGTAGTTTATAATGTATGATTTTTCCTGGTTCTAGAATCCAACATCAGGACGACCCTACAGAGCAGTGCCCTGTACCCCCTGCTGAGTCTGCTGAACTCCCCTGACACTGAGGTCCAGTGTAACGCCTGTGGCTGTATCACCTCCCTCGCTACCAATAGTAAGTAACTTCACAAGAGGCTGTGTAGTCTCTTAAGCCTCGGTCACAACCCGCCGTACGTGCTTCTGCGTGCTGTCTTCGTGCAAAAACGTGGGCAAACATAGGGCATCCGTGCGTGGTGAGTACCACCTCCGTACGGAATCCTCACGGATTTGGGAGCACGCAGACACGCCGTAGAACTTTAAGTGCATGTAAAACTTTTTCTATGTGCGGTCTGCGGATTCACCACCCGTGCGTGCGAGAACGAGCGACGTGCGTGCCCCGTACGTGCAGTGCGGAAGAAGCACGTGTGAGTACAGCCTCCTTACGGTAAAGTTGCAATCGCACAGAGATCGTATATTGTAAGCACGTACAACTCACTCACCACTTGCGCAACGTACGATGCACGCAACCACTCACGGCCAGACGTGGCGTGCAGACCACACTCTAACACTTTGCGCAACTGTGCGAGTGACGTAGGTTAAGACACCACCCCTTCCCCACGTTTTCAGAAAAAACGTAGCAGACGTAGCCTCCCAAAAAACGTACAGACAAAAAGCACGTACGGCGGGTTGTGACCGATGCTTTAGTGTTTCCTACACGTTTTTAGGCCTAGGAAAAAAAAAAAGTTGTGTTTTCTGTTTCCCAACCGACCCTAGCCATTTAACTTTTTTGTGTGGAAAGAAATTTTTATGGCTCCACCACACCACTGTCTGTGGTCCGTTTTTGGTACATTAGGGATGTGGTGAAGCCATTTGCTGCATTTGCTCCCAAGCAAATGTCTGCCTTTCTAGTTTTTTTTAGCCTTTTCTAACCTCATGATATGACCCGAGTGATGAAGCATTGTACAATCGGCTTAGAAACATTGACGTTAAAAAAAAGTGTCCTCATGCAAGTTTTACTAAATTACTTTGTTGAGTGTAACTTGAATCACTAGAGCAGAAATAAAAAGAAGAATCTAAAAAAAGATAGTCCCATAACCTACTGACCTCAATTTTGTAAGGACTGAAACAGGAAACACAACATTTTTTCCCTAGGCCCTACACCTCATACTGTAAATGTGTACAAAGATTTTTTTTCAGTGTTAGTTTAAGTGTGTTTATGTTGAACACATCTTTAGTTACATACTAGTTTTTGCCTTTTCAGTTACTCTCATCTGCCGAATAAACATACCCCCCGGAATAAACGTACCCCCCCGGACAAATCTTCAAAATCAAATAAACATACCCCCGGAATAAACGTACCCCCCCCCGGAAAATTACCAAAATTGACGGGTAACCTGTGTCTCTTGTACTAAAATACGCCCTTACTGATATATGCACAAATCTTTAACTGTTATTTGCAATTAGGAATTTAAATAGACAAAAAAAAGAGCATTTAATATTTCGTATTTTGATAAGCACCACCCATGACAATAGAACATTCAGAGGAATTTATGCACGCGGTGATTGCAAAAACCGGCCCGAA